CGGGGTTTGAGGGGGTTGCGTGTAAGGCAGGGGGAGGCACGGACTGGAAAGTCTTCTTGCGTGGTCGATAAAGAAGTCTTTAAGCAAGTATTTTCCATACTTAAAAAAAAAAATGCCTAAACCCCAAACTCATTATCTTTTCTGGCTGTTGGGAAGCACGTTTCTTAATGAACACGAAACGTATCTTTGAGAGCACAGACGCTGCATTGATTTCTGCTCACAAATCCTCAGCGAACTCAAACCCCAACAAGTCCCCGGGGATTCACATCCTGGACAAACTCCAGCTTCCAGGACAAAAAAAAGCATTGAAATGTGTAAATTGCTTTTTCACATCATCTGCATTCTTGGTCCGGATTCTACCTGGACCCTCAAATATGTAATGCTATATTTAACCCATTAACAGGCACCTTTATTTCACTCTAGTGGTTTGTATGACTGCATGTACACATGGGCATTCATGGTTAGCAGCTGTGGAACAATTTTTGAAGTCATGGTAAATTTAAGTGTTTACATTTTTCTGGGGCACATGAAACACTCTGTATGCAAAGAACAACAGTGAGAAGCTGCTGATTGGTTTAAGAACCAAATTTTGAAGCATTAAAACATGTTTATATATTGACTTTTCTTCCTGTTTACATAAAATTTTGGGTTAAAACGTACTCAAAATACGACGGTGCACATGTTAATGTAACTTGCTTCATAAATGCAATTAGTATCTTTGAATTTACTTTTGAAGAAGTTTTGTACTGCCTCCAGCCACACGCCGGTCCCCATCAAGGAGAGCCTTGTGTGAATCCCAGCAGTCAGAGCAGGGGTTTCCTGGCAGGACACACCCGTGCACGTCGGAATAATTCAGATAAGCAGAAAGAAAGTATAAGGTTTTACATTAAAAAGACAGGACATGTTTCTCACCTCTGCCATGTGCTGTAAGAGCCATCTGCTTCTCTAGGCTTTTGAAAAGGGAGAGGGACAGGAATGGGTAAGTAAACAGGAGGGGATACAGCACATTAAGTTCTCACCAAGTACAGGACAAAGCTTTTTGTTTGTTTGTTTTTTTTTTTCCTTTTCATATTTTTTTAAATTGATCCTGTAATCTAAATTCTGGTTCGCAAAATGCGTCACATTCATGGTTGTGATTAAGCTTCCCAGTTGATCTCCAGGAAAAGACACTGGGAAAGCTTAGGGTTATTTTTCCAAGCTGCCTTCAAACCCCAAAAAATACATTTGAGTTGCAAATGTTTAGAAAGCAACTGTAAAATTTACATTTAGGGTAATTCATAAAAAAAAATTAAGGCTTTATTTTTTTATATATTATTTAAATCTTAAATCCTCCCATAGCTGACAGAGGTAACAAAGTCTCGGCTGTAGCTCAGCCCCTAGCAGGAGAGACCATGTACATTGGTCTGGTTTTACAGACCACGCTCAGCAGGAGTCCCAGACAGCAGAGAATATGGGACTGAATTTGTGTAACTGAGGAACCATAAATCTTTAGCACCTTAGACTTTCCTGAGAGAAGGTGAGAGAAGAAGAAATTTGTCTCTAGCTGTCAGTGTAAATTTTTCATTAAAATGCTGTAAGGCTTTTTTAAGACCAAAAGTAAACTGCTTGTGCAGCACTTTTAGCAGAGCTGCACAAGAAAATCACAAAATCCTTCCACAGATTGTGGTCCTCCAGCAAATTCAAACCACGCTGCCGCTTTCCTCATTGAAAATAGGATAAGAGCAAATACGCTGACAAGGAAAATACGAGTCTATACAACTTCACATCCAATTTAAACAAAGTTCACATCCATTACAAGCCAGGAAGCATGTTCATATTCAAGAGGAACCTGTTTTCCTATACCTCAGCAGAACATCCTAAGAGATAAATAGAGGTTGGCCTCCTTCAGAGGAGAATGTTCACTCCTGCTCTTCTCTGGGAATCATTCTAGAATAAGAAGTGGTTCCTAAAATATTACCCAAAACAAGGTTTACAAGTTGGAGTGGGCCTAGATATGGACTCAGCCTACCTTGTTTTCAAAGTAAAACTGTGAATACTCCCTAGAGGAGGGACCTCAGGAGATCTCTAGTCCTACCTGCTGCTCAGAGCAGGGACCACTGTGGGATCAGAGCTGGTTTCTCGGAGCTTTATCCAGTTGGGCTTTGAAAACTTTCGAGAGTGGGGACAGCACAACCTCTCTGGACAACCTCCTCCACTGCTGGCCTATGCCAATGGTGGATTGTTGGTTGTTGGAGGGTTATCAGACACCTACAGGAATAAAGGTTAGGAGCTGAACAAGGGTAAGACAGATTGACCCATGGCCTGGTGTAGGAGGAAGGAAACAGGCAATTAGTGATGTGTGCTACTGCTCTTTTATTGATTTCAGGTGTACAATGTCCACTATACTATGAGCATTAATGGAAAAGTACAAGATGGATCAATGGAAATAGATGCTGGAAACAACTTAGAGACATTCAAAACGGGAAGCGGGAGTGAAGAAGCTGTGGAGGTTCATGATTTTCAGATTGTAAGTATCACCACCCTTGTCCTTCATGCAACATGCTCCAGTGCTGGACTCCAAGGACACCCTGCCCTGACTTCTCCACCCTAGCTGGTCTCAGGTTCCAGCCCACAGCTATCCACACAAACATGCTTGCTTTCCCAGTGACACAGGCAGTTTCCTCTAAAACAAAGTCTGTGTGCCTTCTGAGGACAGGCCACAGCAGGTCCCACTCTGGGAAGCACTATGGATTAGGCTGCATCAGATTTGGCTCCATGTAACACTTTGCATTTTTAAACCATTGAACAGAGCTACCACATGTGCACTTGGGGTCTTGATAGAAGAAATGTTCTGGCAGGTTGTGACACATCCCTTGCATGATTTCATAGGATTTGAACTGGAAAAACCATCTTCCCCCCCTCCTCTAGTTTTAGGAGCACAGGGTCAACACAGTAAGCCAAGTACACACCAAGGAGAGACCTCTTTATAGCACTAGACCTGGGCAGCTTGCTCTGCCCTGAGATGAAGGATGGGAGCTGCTCTCCATGGTTTGGCCTGGGTTCAACCCCGGGAGAGAGGATGAAGTCATTTAGCATAGCTTAGGCATCCCTGCACCGAGCACGTGGTGCTGGGCCACTTGGTATGACAGCAAATACATTTGGGTACTCCAGCAGCTTGGCTGTGGCTGCTCAGTACAGAGACTGGACTAACAGATGCTGAAGCTCAGCAGAGCTCAACAGTTTGGATAGAGTGGTTCCCTCCAAGGTGCTAAAGGCTTATCTATAGGATGCTGCAGAAACCTATTTATAGGGCCCAGATCCTGCAATTGATGTGCTCAGGTGTGAAACACTCAACTTCAGAGTCAAGTCCTCTGTAAGTCAAAGCAACACCTAAAATAAAGATTATGGTGCTAAGAAGACTTACCCAGGACTTCTGGAACAGCCACCTTGCCCTTGTTCAACCGGGCAAGGCAAGGAAATTCAGCTCCTTGTCTTCTTAGCGAGTACAAACAAATCCATGCCAGGAGACCCAGGACCCTGACTTTCCCAGCAGCTGTGGTTCAGCCTGTATGAAACTCTCATTAACATCACCATAGCAACATTATTAGCAGCAGAATAAAGAGCACCCACAAGGAGCTCTTCTCATTCTCTTCGCTGTTCCACACCTGCACAAAAGCGCTAGCCCACTGGAGAGAAGCTGAATTCACATTGCTTCCACGTGTGTGGCTGGTAAACTACTGCCTGTCACAAGCAGGTCAGAAATCAGCTTCCACCACCAGCCAGCTAAAGGGACCTCCCAGGGCTGGTGCCCCCTTGTAATTACAGTGAGCCAGGGCCAGGCTCAGTGAGAGCAGAGGGATGCTGCCAGTTGGTTTTTGAGCCAAGAATGCACATAAAGAAGAAAGAAATTGAAGAGATGCGTTTCTGGCAGCCAAGTATTTACATTAGCAGCTTTGGATTGACTGGCATGGCTCAAATGATTGCATGGTTGGTGAAAACTTGGATTTGGCCGTATTAGGATATTTCTCGCACGCTTGGTGCACCACGAATCCTCATTCCCTTGTGCACCCATCCTTGCACAACCATCCCCGCTCTCACTGCTTTAGAATTAGTCATTTTCTTTTCACGGGTGTCTGTCCAGCCGTATAGGACTTGCAGGCACAGCGGACGAGTCTCCAATGCCTCAGCATCGTACATCTCAAGCCGCACTAGATGCCTCAGGCACCCATGATGTCTGTAGGGGGCAGGTGAGAGGGGTCATTATGACACACATATCCCCCTGCCCTGGCAGCTAGAGGCTAGGCAGAAAACCAGCATGCCTCAAATGGCACTAGATAGTTACGTTTAGGTGGTTGAATGGTACTTCTGCAACCATACGAGAAACAGTTTTGCCACCTCCAAGGAGGTATCTAAATTCATAACGTAGAAGAGAGCTCTTTTATGGGTACCCAAAAACCTACAGCAAAACCACAGAAACTACAGACAGGGTTCCTCTGCCAGGTTGTTGGTGCTCGAGGTGCTGGCAGATACAATTCAGGACTTGCAGGAGACCTGGGCAGCCCTCTGGAGATGCTGCAATATCCTTCTCTTGCTTAAAACTAGATATTCATGGTTTAGGCAACTGCCTCGTAGGCCAGATGAAGGAAGCCCAGCACGCAGATTTCTGCACCAAATTCCCCATCACGAACTTCCCCTTGCTGTCACAGCCGCTTTTATGTATATAAATTGGACCAAGCTGTCCCCATATTTTTTGTAGATCTGTGTCATAAGGGTACCGCCCCAGCAGCTAACACAATTTTGAGGCTGCCTACGTTAGGTGCTATTTTACAGTTCAAATCATGTCAACTAATTCCTTAACAGAGCTACTCCCAGTAGCCTACGGCAGGCATGGCAGCACTTACATAAACCACCTCCATCTTTCAGAAATCAAGCAGACTTCTATAGACCCATTTGACCAAAATTGTAAAGCTAAAACGATGAAGGAAGAGTGTTTTATTACATCTGGTTTTAAGTAAGATTTAGCCTTCAGAGTAAAAACTTCAGTGGCAATTTTAGCAGAGCTCAGGTGCTTTTTTGGGGGTGGTGGAGAGCTGGAGGGCTGCTCACAACCCCCGCCTTCTGCTTTTGCAGGGTATAACCGGAATCCGTTTTGCTGAAGGAGAAAAGTGTTACATCAAAGCCCAGCCAAAAGCTCATGTTCCTGAAGTTGATGCTATGACTAAAGCGAGCCTCTCATCTGAGCTGGTAAGGGGTAATTTATTTATACTTTTTAAGAAAACCTTTTTATAAAGAGAGTCTTAAAGCAGTAGTTAAATAAAAATAAAAAGGAGGAGTAACTGGGAAGCTCCTTAGCAGAGAAGGACTTGGGGGTGTTGATGGACAGCCAGCTGAACATGAGCCAGCAGTGTGCCCAGGTGGCCAAGAAGGACAACAGCATCCTGGCCTGTATCAGGAACAGTGTGTCCAGTAGGACCAGGGAAGTGATTTTACCCCTGTACTTGGCACTGGTGAGGCCACATCTCAAGTACCGTGATCAGTTTTGGGCCCCTCATGACAAGAAGGACATTGAGGTGCTGGAGTGTGTCCAGAGAAGGGCAACAAAGATGGTGAAGAGTCTAGAGCATATGTCTAATGAGGAGCAGCTGAGAGAACTGGGGTTCTTTAGCCTAGAGAAAAGGAGGTTGATGGGAGACCTTATTGCTCTCTACACATACTTTAAAGGAGGTTTTAGCAAGGTGGGGGTCAGTCTGTTCAACCAAGTAACAAGTGATAGGACAAGAGGAAATGGCCTCAAGTTGTGCCAAGGGAAGCTTAGATTTGATTTAGGAAGAATTTCTTGACTGAGAGGGTTGCCAGGCATTGGAAGGGGTTGCCCAGGGCAGTGGTGGGGTCCCCACCCCCTGGAGGTATTTAAGAGTTGTGTAGACAGCACTTAGGGACATGGCTTAGTTGAGGACTTGTGAGTGTTAGGTTAGTGATTAAACTCAATGACTGTGAAGGTCTTTTCCAGTCTGGGCAACTCTGTGATTCTGTGTAAGAAAAGCAAGATTGGTGTCAGAAGTGTTCCTGTATGCAGGGGCATCGTGAGAGGCTGCAGATTAGTGAGTGGGAGAAACCAGAGACCAGTTTCTGCTAGATCCATAGGAGACCTCAGCGGCAAGAGCATCTGTCTGAGCACAAGCTGTGCACAAGGCTGGAAGGGAGAGCATGGAAGAAGCAGCTGCTTTAGTCAATGCAAAGAGGGATTGTGGTAGATACCAGGGGACTTCTATCAACACTCTTGTGCAGAAGCAAGGACTCCATCACTCAAGTCCTCTGAAACAGTCAATAAAGGGGGTTGCGCAGTATCTTAAGGGGGCCTACAAGAAAGCTGGTGAGGGGCTTTTTAGGATGTTGGGTAATGATAGGACTAGGGGGAATGGATTAAAGCTAGAGATGGATCAGTTCAGACTGGACATGAGGAATAAGTTCTTGACCATGGTGAGACACTGGCACAGGTTGCCCAGAGAGGTGGTGGAAGCCCCATCCCTGGAAGTTTTTAAGGCCAGGCTGGATGGGGCTCTGAGCAGCCTGATCTAGTGGGGGATGTCCCTGCCCATGGCAGGGGGGTTGGAACTAGAGGATCTTTAAGGTCCCTTCCAACTCTGACAATTCTGTGATTCTGTGATTATTGCAAAAATCCAACTAACTCAGAAGAAATAATAGTTTAAAAATCCCAAAGAATTTGCTTTCTTAGATGGCATCAGACTTCATTTGAGGACATCACCTTAACTAAACTTCATAGAATCTGCATTGTAAGCAACACAAAAGCTGCAGTTCTCAGTCAAAACCTTTCCTTACCTTACATTTGTATAATCCTCATCTCTTTAGGTGTGCAAAACGTGAGTTTCCCAGAGCTCAGATCCCCAAACGCATCGCTCACAGAGGAGTGACTCTGGTGACTTGAGTACATCTGAGCCTGGATGCTGGTGGGAGAGCACAGGAGAGCAACACCTGCTTTCCCCAGGGTTTGCCCTGCTCCTGAGAAAATAAAAGCAGATACAATTAGCTGAGAGAGAGGCACCATTAAGGCTGCAACCTACCTGCAGTGATGCTGCGATTACAGAACACCTCCTTTGAAATGAAGGGGGAAAAAGGTCTCTCTGAATCCAATCAGCAAGACATGAGCAATGTTACAAAGCCCCCTGAAACTGGTGAGATTTTCCCTATGACGGGGAAGATACCTTACCCAAATTCCAGATACCTTGCCTAAATTATTTTAAAGGCAGGCTAGGCTTCCTGACTTCATTAGCTAAACCTAAACTCAGGGCTTCAACTTTTCATGGTTTTCTAAGAATGGAGTCATAGTCCTGAAGACATTATCCTAAAATAGTTCAGAAATTATTTCTAATCTACCTGGGTCCAGTAAACTGATTCCCACATCCTGATTTCTCTGCATCTGCTCAGAAGATGCATCACCTACACACCTGCTGCAAGAAATTGTACGCACCGGGGCCAAAACCGAGCAGCCGACTTAGTGCTACCATTGGAATATTAACCTTTCACTGTTGCTCTGCTTTCCAGGTTAGATGTACGATGGGAATGGCAAAGCAGTATTTATTTTTCTAGAAAAACTCCTGTCTCCAACACCGCATGTATTTAGGAGAAAGAATGCGTATGCCATTTCCTTACAACACATATCATAAGCAACGCTGTCTGTGAAAACGGTTGATTAAAATAACCTTTTGTAGATACCCAAACTCTGCCTGCTCACAAGTCAGGGTCATCTCAAACAGAAACAAAGGATATTTTTATTTCTGAAAACTAGATTCAGATATTTCTGATGCTGATAAAAGCTTAAGTGGGAGAATATAAATAAAGATCACTTCTCGCTAGACAGATTGGATAGCAAACTTAAATGACTTGAGACCTACAAAAGAAATCAATAAACACACTAAAGGAACAACAATGATGGAATAAATTGATCTAGTCAGTTATATAACAAGTTTTGATGACTTTTATGGAAGCAATTTAGAATTTTAACTTTGAAATCATACCGTTTTTCATGATTCAAAAGTTCGTTTTCTTTTAATATTTCACCGTTACCATAAAATACTTAACACATTTTATGTAAAATAATACTTTGAACTAACAACTTTAAAGAATCAATCACTGGCATTTTCCTACATTACTTTGAAGATATGAACCAAAAACCTGCAGGGTACACTTCAAAAAGGCAGGCTCCTTTAACTCGCACTTCAAGCTTTTGGTCAATTGAATTGCTTTTACCAAATGAGACCTTTAATCAGACTGATCACGTTGACTTAGAACTGGAAGCTAGAGCAGGTCTCCAGCTATAATCCTTTCTAAAACTTCTGAGCAAGATTTCCCCCCCTATTGTAAATATAGTTGTATCTTGGGAGTACCTCAAATGAGAACGGGGCACGATAAAAGATTAGGGTCTTGGTGTTAGCTGGCATATTTCATTGGTGCTTTGCTGAACGTGGTAAATCTTCAAAGTTTCTACGCCCTGAAAATCTGGCGCCTTTGGGCTGAAAGATCCCTGACACCTAGTGCTTGTACATGGGGGAAAAGCCTTCCAAGAGAGAGGTGGGTGAAATCTTAGCCCTAGCGAAGCTGACGGTAGTTTTGTCATTCATTTCAGTGGTGGCAACTTTTACTCGGGCTGTGGCTCAGTACTATCAGAAACACAAGGATGCTCAGTATTAGCTGCAGCAGATAATTATACAGTTTGATGCTCAAGAATTAACAGCAAGCAGGCACGTGACTGTTCACTGAGCAGCGAAGGATTTATGCTCTTCTGTTTGCAGGAAGATGAAATCATGCCTGTGAGATTTGACGAAAACTCCCTTATCTGGGTGGCTGCAGATGAGCCTATCAAACATAATGGTTTCCTAAGCCCCAAAATTTTAGAGCTTTGTGGGGATCTTCCTATTTTCTGGCTGCGACCGACATATCCCAAAGGTAACACTTCTTTTATTCGAAAAGTATGTTATTGCTCCTTTCATCTAAACGCCTTCCCTGAATCAGGTTTGCCACCAAGACTTGCACACCTGGGAAATCAGGATCCTTTCATCCCTTGCCCAAAATTCGCAGGCTGGTGCTGAGACTGTGGGTTTGCACTTTGTCCACACTTAGTAGACGTTTTCCATACTTGTATTTCCTCAGATAATTTGTACAGCCCACATAGGTGACTTACTTGGAGATGAAATATACCCAGGGAGATCAGCCTCTTGTGAAAGGACAAGACAGTGGCTTAAACTAGTCCCCAAAATGTTTAGGCAGCTGACACCAGGTAGCAGGAACACTATACCTGGCCAAGAGTTGGGCAGTATCAAGCTCCTGATCTGGGACCACAGCCTGTCCGGTCTCCTACCCTGCTTTTCCAGAGGATTTCAATGGAGTGGAAGGATGAGATGCTTTAGCTAAGCAACTGGTGGACAAAGTTGATGAGGTCCTGGGGGCAGTCCCAGGACAAGTACTCCCATCACCCAGAGCCAAGCTTAGGAAAGGTTTTCAGGAGTCACCAGGGAGATGGCAACTTCTCCAGGTGATTTCCAGGCCTGGGAGGAGAAGGCTTGAAAAGATTTACTCCTCCTTGGTCCAGTCAATATTAGAACACTCAAAGAGGGGGGAAAAAAAACCCCAAACCAAAAAACCCACCACATTTTAGAGCACCTGTGGATCCAAACTGCCAATATTTTCCACTTTTCTCATGAGCTTGCATATCCCATCTGGCAACAAAAGAACAATATCAAAGCTGTCCAGAAGCTGTGTCCACCAGCTTCACCAGCTGCTCTTGGGAACAGGGCACCAGTTTGTCAAAAAAGCACTTAAAAAAAAATAAGATGCGTATGACTGGTCCTGCTTGTGCTGGCAGCTGCTGCTGAGTTAACATCAGTGAGCAGAGGGTGGGTCAAAAAGACTTAACAAATCACTTTATATCCATTTTGCCTTAAGGAGAGGAAGGCAAGGTGAGGAGGAAAGGCAATCTCACACCCCTTTGGACTGACTTTGGCTGCAGATAACAACACAGGACAGCAAGTAACTCCCAAGAGGATGGTCATCAAGTTTGCCACCACACAGATTTGTCTTTCCTTCTGCCTTCCACCCTCCCCCTTTTTTTTTAATATTCAAAAAAATCTATCACTGAAACCTTAGACAATGTGTGGATAAACACAAGGACACACTGCAGATAAGATTCTCCTCTCCTGATTATTTCTTCAGGTAACCAAAGGAGAGAAATGAAGAGAAACAAACGTCAGTCAGAATCAAACTTTGATATAGAAGACCTGGAAGATGCTACTGAAGACGTAAACACCAGGTTGTCCACCATGCAGCTGACTCAAGAGCTTGATCATCAGTCTAATGAAACCAGGCCAATGGGACAAGAAGCCGACCAAACACTTAATCCAGACAACCCATATAATGTAAGTATTTGCACTGTAATTTTCTTTTAGAGCCTGAGACTGTTGCAGACAGGTAATACTGTTAATGAGGGGTTTGTCCGTAAAAAAAAAAAAAATTACCGGTGTAGTCTTCACCTGTTCAGCTTTTCTCTGAATTTAGACTTTTTAAGAAACACCTAAACAGCACAAAAAAACCTCCTCCTTCAGTCCTCTTTTCCCTTATCCCAGTTTTCATTAGGCTTCAGTCTGAAACAAGCACAAGTGCTTGAGGTGGCAAGATTAAGGCAAGTTGATGCCAGGATGCCTCGCAGGTTTCCAGGTCCATACATAAGCAGCACTAGAGAGATCTGACAAGGATCACAAGCTGAAAACACATGAAATCTGGTCTTGATCAGACAGCTGAAGCCCATCATTTACCAACAACGTAAAGAGAGAGTCCAAAAGCTTGAAACTTACCTTGTCCTCACAAAGAAATTACTATCAGAAGTGACTACTACAGATGAAAGCAGTAGTAGTGTCTAGTTGCAAAGAGATTAGGGTCAGGCCAAATAAATGCGTTTTCTCAGCCTCTTCTCTGTTGGGGTCGACAGCCCGACAGTCTCACGAGCAATTCAGAGAGGACGGCCTGTTCAGAGACAGCAACAGTGGGTGGAGGATGACTTGCAGAACTTGTGCCAGTTCTCTGAGACAAAGCAGCCCATGGAAAGAGCCCAGGAGCTGCCCCGCTGTGTCCCAACACCTTGTGCCATGCCACAGGAAATCTGAGTGTACAGGAGGCACCTTCCAGTCTGCTGCACCAGCGCCAGACAATTTACATCCACCATTTGGTACAGCAGGAGTAAGTCATTTTAATACAACACTGTCACAAAATAAATGCCTTCTGCTTTGGAAGTAAGTCCCAGCCTTGACTTGACATTTATGCAACAGCAGGAGATCATTATGCTGTGACAGCATTCTGCTGAGTTGACATCCCTTAATTAAACTTAAATTAATCACTCCAAATAAAGTGGATCCAAACCGACTCTCTCACGAGGTCAGTAAAGCAGCAGCGGCACTGGAATGTAACTTCTCCTCACAGCTCCTAACGTGACCAGGCCCATGGCATCAGAGCTGCCGCAGAACAACAGCCACAGGTCCATTCCTCCAGCTAGAGGGGCCCTGGGGCCACATGGAGAATGTCAGATGCCTATATCCAAGCTTTCTTTAGAGACTGATTCATTTCATTCAAAAGGGACATTAATTATACTGTATGTCTTCCCTGTAGAATGACAGAAATCCTCCCTAGACCTATTTCTCTTCACCCACTATGAGTGGAGTCTGGATGATGAGCTCAGGTGTAGGAAGTTCACGCTGCAGGTATCTGAATTGATGAATCCTGCCCAAGGAAACGACACCCTCCCTGATCCCGGGGCTGGGGGTGGTGGGGGCTCAGACAACACTGAGCCGTCACTAGCATCCCGTACTAACCCAGACAGGAGATGACACCTTTCTGTGCCTCACCTTTCTGATGTATTGCTAGTTTTCTGAATGAAAAAGGCTCAGGTAAAAAGCTTGTTATTCCAACATTTGCTCTTTGCTGCTGCTTTTCTTGAAATAACACTACTGGGAAAAGAACAAGAAAAATACCTAGATTACTTTTTTCCTAGAAGGGAAGAAAGGAATTTTGAAGGGTGAGGGCAGTAGCAAGAGCCTCCTTTTACATATTTTGTGCACGCCTTGCTCCATGTATCTCCTCACTGGCAGGTACAGAACAGGCAGAACTCTCACTGTTCACAATGCACCTAAGTGTGGCAAAGGGGGAAGAAAAAGAATAGGTGTAAAGACAAGGGAGAAATATTCAGAAAACTGCAGGCTAATCAATAGCTTACTGAGTAGTTTCCCCGGAATGCTGTAAAAGGCATTAAAACACAGAATTAAAACCCAGCATACAGTTTAGATGTTATCTACATAAAAGACCCTGGTAACTGTTGTGAAACCTTTTCCATCACCAATACTTCAGACCTGGGAGTTTACTGCTGCTGGATCTTCTGCAAGGACTGTAGAAGAATAATAACAGAGTTAGAGCTCCCTGTTGCTTCCTTCCATTTTACATGGGTGACCGCACCAATTTTATGCTTCAACCAAACAGAGCATGACAAAAGAAAAAAAATATAATAAAGATGCACAGGTCAGTTAGCGCAGGTCTGTTAACTTCATCAGGACCAAAATGTCAAGTTTTTACTTTTTCTGGGGTTAACAGGAGCATCGGTGTATTCTATATTCTCTGAGATAAAGAGCACCGGGATGACATTTAATATTTTACATTCCAGCAGCTGGAAGGCGAAGGGATGACTTTTGACCCCATGCTGGATCACCTAGGCGTGTGCTGCATCGAATGCAGACGGAGCTACACGCAGTGCCAGAGAATTTGCGAGCCTCTCATGGGCTACTACCCGTGGCCTTACAACTACCAGGGCTGCCGTACCGCCTGCCGAATCATCATGCCCTGCAGCTGGTGGGTGGCTCGTATCATGGGCGTCGTGTGAGGAAAAAAAGCAATCAGAGCCTTGACAAAATAAGCAGGAACACAGTGCCGACAAACTGGTAAAAGACTACAGCCACAGCAGCAGTACCTATCCCGGCTTTTTAAAAAAAAAAAAAAAAATCAAAGCGTGTTGTTACTGCACCAAAGGCAAGGTCAGGTATTCTAACTGTAAATAAACATCTTAAGCTACTACTCCACTAGCTTTACAAATGACAAGAGTATGTGAACACTTACTGAATTCAAAAGCTAAGACATCCTCAAAAAAGACAGTATTAAACTCTGCTCACAAACTGGTTTAGCAGTCCAGAAAGCTTGCTCATCAATCCCAATTCAGCCTTTCGTAACCAAACCCTCTCCTTCCGAGCTACATGTGAGAATTTACATCCAATTAGGCGACTAGCCCAACTTGTACACTCGGGAGTACCTTTCATCCATGTAGCTTGCTTAAATAAATCACAAGTTAAGTTGCTCCCCGCTGCTATTCATACCGAGTTGCCAGGTCATGAATGGTTATAAACCCATTACAGCATACCTTTCCCACAAAGCTGCTCCGGGGGATGCGGGAAAGCGCACATTGTGTTAAATCGGAAACAAACGGCAGGAAAGGCGGCTGCGGAAGGGATCGCGCGCAGCCCGTGGAATCAAAACCCTTCGCGCACCCCGACATCAAAGAAGCGCCGGCATCGAGAATCTTGTATCCACGATACCGCCGTAGTGTCTAACAAGTATCTGCTCACTAGCTACTACGGCAAAAGTATTTACATGCAGTTGCAGACCAAGGAGTCTCAAGGCCCTTCAGAATCTACACCAGGCACTCTTTATAAATCCTTGAACTAGACACTTCTGACACAAGATTACAACCCCTCTTTATTCCACATGGATAGCGGCCATTCATGCTAGTAGCTCCTTTGGCTTCACTGAAGCTAACCCCTCCGCTCCCGCAAGAGAAACTGCTTACCAGTAAGGAAAATAAAAAAGTAAAGAGGAGTGGGGGGAAAAAAAAAAGGGTTTCTAACCACACCTTTTTTGCTTAGGCAAACTGCAATTATTGGGATTGATCCTATTACATATTAAATCTCTGAGGAAGAGACTAAGCTGAAACACTCACAAAAAATAGGATGACTTAGGATTCCTAGCTTTGAAAAACAAAGCTAGAGGTATTACACTGCCTTCATCCATATTACGCATCTTGAACCTTACCATCGAGTTTATGGAGCCATCTGCATGGACTTTATAAACAGAATGGTCCAATTTTTCTTCAAGTTCACTTTCTGGGGTATTCATTTTTGTGTCCAAACAGCTCTTAAGATGTTGCAAGCCTAGTAATGTTATTAACACTGCGTGACATACAGAAAAGAGGAATTAGTTTGACATAATCGTGGCTTAAAGAAAATAAAGACAACCTCATGTGGAATGCTAAACTGCATATCTAAAAAGCAAAGTGTTAAATGAGAATAAGATGAGAACAGAATTCAGTATTTTGTTCTATTGTAGCTTTTTTAAATGTAAGCTTCACCTTCCCTTAATCTGAGGAACAGACTCGCTTTGAAATATTTAAATTTAAAACTTCTTAAAGTGGGATTTCAAGGCCTGTTACATTTGAGTTTCTGCTCTTTAAAATGAAAATGACCTTGATTATTATGTTGTTTTAGAAGTACGTCATTCATATGAGTAGAAGTTGGTTTTCCTTTTTTTTTTTTTTACTGCAGATTAAATAAATACATTAAAAATGGCAATTACTTTCTGTGCTTTTTTCAGTGTAGAAAGTGTAACTGTATCTTTATATATATATATATATAAGTTCAAGAACTGTAGGGCGAAGGAAACATGGGGATCAGCAAGTGAAACATTGAAGGCAAAGAGAAGGAAATGTGACTCTTGCGTCTAAGGTCATCTTGAGGCAATCCATGACCCGCTTCTCCCTGTCCCTCCCCAATAAAAAAACCCACAAACCATTTCCCTTCTGAAGACAAAAGAAAAACCTACCTTGTAGGCAATTTCTGTGCCTAAATGTTCTTAACAAAATTCACTCTTTCTAAACAAAAGGCTTCTATCAGTTTTTTTTCTATTGGCATTTTAAGAAGTAAAAAAGGATCCCACTCATGGATGGGATAAACTGTCATGTACAGCACGTACCCTTTGAGAACCCTTCTGCAACACACCGTGCCAAGAAAGCCCTGGTGATGGTTAAGAGAAGCAGATAAACTGCTTATCACCTGGTCTGTGACTGGCACAATTGCCAGAACTACACTGCTGCCCAAATACAACAGAGGGCATTATGTGGCCATTTCCAAAGGATACACAAAACATTTTCAAATGAACCTTACTTGGCAGAGGAACCTAATGAGGTTCAACAAGGTTCCAGAGGGCACGGCCTCAAACTGCATCAGGGGAGGTTTAGGTTGGGTCTCAGGAAGCACTTCCTCATGGAGAGGGTGCTCAGGCACTGGGATGCACTGCCCAGGGAAGTGGTGGGAGTCACCATCCCTGGAGGTGTTTAAGGAGAGGCTGGATGTGGCACTTAGTGCCATGGTCTGGCCGATGTGATGGTGTTGGGTCATAGGCTGGACTTGATGATCTCAGAGGTCTTTTCCAGCCTCAACAATTCTGTGATTCTGTGATTCTATGAACAAGGGCAAATGTAGGGTCCTGCAGCTGGGGAGGAACAGCCCCACGCACCAGTAGAGGTTAGAGGTAGACGTTCTAGAAAGCAGCCCTGAGAAAGATCTTGAAGTCCTGGTAGACAGCAAGCTACCGATGAGCCAGCTGTGTGCCCTTGTTGCCAAGGCCAATGGTATCCTGGGGTGCATTAAGAAGAGTGTGTCAAGCAGGTTGAGGGAGGTCATCCTCCCCCTCTATTCTGCCCTGGTGAGTCCAGGTTTGAAATACTGTGCCCAGTTCTAGGCTCCCCAGGTCAAGAGAGGCAGGGAACTGCTGCAGAGAGTCCAGTGGAGGGCAGCAAAGATGACTAGGGGACTGGAACATCTCTCTTAACAAGAAAAGGCTGAGAGAGCTGGGACTCCTTAGCCTGAAAAAGGCTCACAGAAGACCTTGTCAATGTCTATAAATATCTAAAGGGTGGGTGTAGGGAGGATGGAGCCAGACTCCTTTCCATAGTGTCAAGTGACGGGACAAGGGGCAATGGGCACAAGATGGAACACAGGAAATTTTATCTAAATATGAGGAAGAACTTTGTTACTGTGAGGGTGACAGAGCACTGGGACAGGCTGCCCAGGGAGGTTGTGGAGTCTCTGTCTTTGGAGACTTTCCAAAACCCACCTGGACATGTTTCTGTGTGATGTGCTCTAGGTGATCCTGCTTCAGCAGGGGAGTTGGACTAGATGATCTCTAGGGGTCTCTTCCAACTCTGACAATTCCATGATTCTCTGATTTATGCATATTTATAACATTTACCTATATATTGTATTCGAAGATTAAAAAAAAAAAATCTCTTGCTGCGGCAAGGTTGGAAAATCTCATTTAAGCGCGACATCTAATTTTTGAAGGAAATGTTCTGAGGCAACACAGGAATGACAATAAAACCAATGACCCAATGGTATGAAAAGATAGAACAATATTCCCTGCAGTGGTGGTTCAGACCACAGCTCTTAACTATCCACAGTGGTCCCGTTCACTACTGCGCAACACTTATCACCAATGTGAAGACAAGTTTTCCACTGCCCCCACAAAAATAAAGCTTGGCACACTAACAAAGTTATGATGTGTCTGCATCTGGGGGATGGGAATGGAAGATGTTCCTTACTGGAAGAAACCAGTTGAAAACCTTCCTTTGGCCAAAGTTTAGTGGAAGAGGAAAGAAAGAGGGATGAACTTGTCACAGACGGTGTTTCCCACCAATGGTGGGTGGATGTTAAGTCAAAGCACTGCAATTCTATTGTCCTTAAAACTTCATTACCCGTGTAATTGTGTAGCAGGTCAGATTAAAGCAGAGAAAGGGGATAAATTCAGGTTGGAGGAAAAGAGATGGAAAACAAGCAACATAGCCACAGGGTTAAAAAAACTGAAAGTCAGTGATGGGAAGGCAGGAGTCATCTCTTTTCTGCACTATCAGCCCTCTTCCTCCCTATTTACAAGCAATGAACCTGAGTTTCCCCTCTTTGTCCTTTTCGATCTGGGAATCATCCTCCACTTTTATCTGTATCTACACTGAGAAAGTAAAAAGCTGGGAGGTGTGGAAGTGGGGGAGGATCTGTCTTCTGCCTCCCATGTAACACTTCAGCCCTACTGAAACACTAAACGGATTCCAAGAAAGCGTCAGTGAAGAACAGACAAACCCCTTGTCCCATGCAGTGACAAAAACTCAAACAAAACAAACCAACCAAAAAAAGGCACGGAGAAGCATAAAACGGGAGCTGGCAAAGAACAGACTGTTGATTGACACATCAGAGTGGATCGCATCTCTGAACCAGGAGCACCACCGTCTTCTGCTTCTGAGAGGCTGAACTCATCTTTTACAAGCGCTGCGTGTCTACTGAAGATGATAGAGGCAGCCTGAAGATACAGCAGTCGGGCATCTTCCATGACCCACAGAACAGCAGCAGAGTAACCCCATCTGCAGCGTTAAACGGGAAAGCTCCTGTTACCTCTTGCTGTCCCGTTCCTGTATTTGCAGCAGGACTACAAATCAGAGCACTGGGGTGAAACTGCCTGGGTCCTCTGCACAGTATGATCCACAGGTGACCAAAAGGCTTGGGAAAACAAACAGACAAAAAAACCCAAACAAACAAAAAAAATCCACTCAAGAGAAGTCTGAACACAAAAGATCATCCACACTGTCCGTGCAGGCACTTCTCTGCCCCCAGCCAACTCGTTGCCAGTGCTGCAACAAATTCCACTCACGCCCTGTAGTCCCGAAGAAAATTCCTTTTGTCACTGGTACACCTTCACCTCCTCTATTGAACTTTCAAGCTTCCGGCTGTTTTAATCTTGACTGAGGGCTTCTGGAACCTTCTGCAAGTGTTTTGTCAAGAACAAAGCATACAGCCTTCAAAAAGTTCACCAAGTGCCTTCCCCCCAAGTTTACATGGAAATTTTGCCTACTGCTTTAATCCAGCACCCTCTTTACCAGAAAAAAAAAAAAAAGACAACACACCCCACCTCCCACAATCCCCATCCCCGGTAAAGTAAGAAGAGCTGCCATTATTGGGTTCCCCTAAACTTTAAGGTGGAACAAACACAGATTATCTGTCTGTGCTCAGAAATGAGCTGGAATTATGTTTAAACCTGCAAACTTGACTTACAGGATTGAGATGGACAGGGAGGTCTACCACTTGATTGCTACAAGTTTTAGCCTGAAGCTAAAGCATTCTATTTGCATTACATGTGCCTCAAGAGTACATAAGCAGCAATGCATTTTATTCTACTTTTTGCCTTAAGCTAAGCGAATTGAATCCCAGAGCAGTGAAACAGTACCCACTTAACACAGGAATACACTGTGCTTATCTGACGAGATATTCCCATGGCTTTCCTCTAAGTGAAAGTAGACAGAGGAACCCCTACTCTGTTCTCTTCAAGTCAGTAAGAACAACCCGATTGGCAGAAAACATCCTCAAATTACTTTTTCATTTCTATTTAAGAGATTTTTATCTAAGCTTTTCCCACAGTAAGTCTTTGCTAAGCGCTGTTAAGTGCTCTGAATGACATTTATAAAGCAAGGCTGGCCAGGAGACAAGAACCCAATTTTGTGACAAAGTGAAGCGCTTCGACATTTGTCTTCCTTTTACATTAGAAAGGAAGAAATGCCTTTCAGAGCATAAATAAAGAGCAGCAAAGCACTTATCCAGGTGGATTGAGTTCAAATCGCTGTTCCAGATCAAGTCAGCTTTCAATGTTAGCACCCCATATGGATGGCAAATGCTCTAGATATGGAGCAACTAGCTACTCAGAATTCTCGAAAGGGCAAGAAATTCCCCACTGAAGCTGAAATACGGCACAAGTACACCCTTTGAGAAACTCTTTCCAGAAGCAGACATTGCTCAGTAACAGTCTAGAGGCGAGGCATACACAAAACCCTTCCTAAATTCAATCCGTCTCCCTTTGTTGTATTCGAAGACCAGGATAACATTCAGTTCTGAAGGTCATCACATCTGAGTTTTGGAAAACATGAATCCATTCTGAAGCTACAAGTGATTCAAAAGGCAATTCCTGCCCAGAGCTTGCACTACAGGATAATCATGACCTGAGAGAGTCAAGAAACTGCAGTGATGTCAAGACTGCAATCATTGTCTACAGCTGTCCAGCATGGACATCTGAAGTTCACAGCTATGGCATCCACCCGAAAACAAGTTTTTAAGATTTGTGAGATATTTAAAGTCTACCTAGTGCAAAGGCACGGTACCAATAGTAGGAAAAAACCCACTGCGCTTTCCCTGCATCACTGCAAAACCTAAATTCCTAGTCCTCAGGAGGAACAAAATGCATTCCTCCTTCTTCCTCCTTAGTTTTCAAGCATCTTTTACCTATGTTTATTACTGTAATAGCTTCACTAGTCTTATTAGAATACCTGTTTTAATAGTTCTATATTTTATGAAGCTCATCCAGTTCTCACTGTAGTAAAATATCAAATACAAAGAAAACTCACAGAACAATCTGGAGAAACCTACAGAAGAATGAATGCAAGAAAAAGTGGCAAACTCAAAGCAGCATCTGACAGTCAGCAAGAAATGAAGCAGCTTTCAAGGGGCGGCCAGTATTTGCAATTTGTGGTGTTTTCTAGAATGCCAGAACGTTTAGTTATCTCCAAATTCCCAATTTCAGGCAATTGCAGTAGATCCTTCTTTTTGAATACAGAAGGCAGACAGAGGATCCACCTCTCTGTAGAAATTTCCAACCTCCAACCGACTTTGTCCCTGCCATCACATACGACTGCAGTTATGACCCAGGTGGAAGGACTCCAAAAGCAGAAATTTTGGGTCTGCATCAAGAACAGCAATCTCCTCCTCTTCACTGAATGAACGTTTCGCTCCTATATGCACCAGTTCTTTCTTTTTTTAAAGCAGCATATTCACATCCTTATCAATATGCCTTAAGTGATTCCCGCATCGAAAACCAAAATGACTAAAAATGAAATGAAGCAGCTTCCGTATAGAAAAAGTTATATTTACAGTTTTATTTAGCAGAGTTAAAGAGCAAACAATTTTAACACTGGTGTTGAAAAGTGTTTTTACTCAAAGTTGCCAAGATCTAATAAGGTATTTATTGAACAGAAATACCGGGCATAAGGCAATAATCCTGACCAGCAATTAGAGAAAACCCTATCCCCGAAGAGCAGAGCTGATAAAGGTGGTAGAAAATTTAGACCGATGGACTCAATTTCCAAAAATCTCACAGGGGTGACGAAAACAGGGTTCCAATCTTGAGTATATCTTTAACATCTGCGGATGAAGGGATTTCTAAAGCACGCAAAATGTAAAGACAATTCCTGTTTCCAAGGGAACATTCAGTGCTTTTGAATCCAAGAACGCTATGTCCATACACAATGGTCAGTACATGACTATGGCAACACAGAGATGGTAAAAGATTAAAAACGTGATTAGAATTTTTTCCATTCCATGTCATCAGGAGGATTTACTTCTACCTTCCTTTTGCCAACATCAGACCAGTTGGTGCTCAGAACTGTGCCTCCAGACTCCATCTGCAAGATGAGAGAAAGCTCATTTAGTTTGCTAGAGGAATTCTAGTAGTATAAAAGTCAAATTTCTTAGAGCAGATTAAGAAATTCTGAAGAAACATGAAGAACTCGAGCTTCATGCAGTAGCAATTACACCGGAATTCTGTGTACGTACAAAATGAAATATGACAAAGCCATCATTTCATAAACCTCAGTCCAACGGTACTTCTAAGACTACTGTGCACAATGAGATGTTACTTCATTAACAAGAAGCTTTTGATGGCTCTGCCATGTTCTTGCCTACAAGGACTACAAATAAAAGGAATTAGACACAAACAATTTGAAAGAATTTGATCTTTTCACCCATGGCAAGTCTTCAAGCTCTCCACAAGCCAAAAACTGTATTTCAAAGGTAACACCGATTGAAACAAAGAGACCAGTGACAAAGCACAACCTTGGATTTCAGTCACATGCATGAGTGTACAACGTCACAGCTTTCAGCGAGATCTGTCACACCAATATCTCCAACCAAACTGTGGCCATCCATTACAGGCCCAAGGTTTTGGGAGCTGGAGGCTTGCTGATTTATGCAAACTTTAGTAAATTGTGTCAGCATGCAGAAGTTATGTATTTCTTCAGAGAAAAAGAATGAAGACTTACAAATGATTTGTTCATGGCACGTTTGACTTCATCTGTACCATCTGAATAAATTTGCTGGAAGAGTTTATTTAAAGCAGCATCTCCTTCTAACTTCTCATTCTTCTCCTCTTCTTTGATTTCAACTACCAGTTTGTCCCAGTTCCTCGTATAGTGAGAGGATGATGGATATAAGTGCTGTGTATCTGAAAATAGGTGGTGTTTGTTAACTAAGCATTTTCTCACGACTTTTAGAGCAGCAGAGAACACAGACACATACGTGTATCTGATGAATCAGAGATTATAATGGAACATAAATTTGAAAATGCAAATGGATTCCTCCTTACCGATATAAGCATTGCAGTAACAAAAATAAAGGAAACTAAGAAATTCTAGAGACTACATTCAGCAGCTGCAAGAAGTTTACTTTTAAGTAAACAGAGTTACACAATTTTGTAGCCAACAACAACAACAAAATGCTGGACAACTGCAACATAGATAATTAAAGTCAAAACGAGGCAGGAGATACCAGCTGACAGTAAGAAAATAATAATAATAAAAAAGAAACAGCAGCCTAGAGCCACAAGAAAATTTGCGCAAAATTTCAAACAGCATTTGAAATCAATAAATGAGGAAATTGTCTCAGAGATGTATTGTTAATCTGTCTTGAAAAACTGCACAAGCATTACTCTCCAAGAGAGATGGAATGTTTCAGTAAATAATACTTGATTATACAAAGCAACAACAGAGGCACAACATTACACAGAACTGTAAAACAGTGACCAAACCAGAGAGCCAAACAGATAAGCCCAGAGGAATTAATGACAAGCTTTAACAACCCACCAGATTAATATCTAAGTTATAGTAATGGCCTGCAGACCTTTTCTGTCAATTCTAGGCAGTAAAACCAAGACCACTAGGCTTTTCCTTGTAAATATGAAGCTGTGACTTTATTAACGATATTTAACACAAAAATACTATCACTAACTGCAAGTAACTTAATACAAAGAAAACACTTAACACTTAAATAGTTCAGAGAACAAACCTGGTGTAAATTGCTTTAACTTTGGAGAATCTCCCTGGCCCTCCAGCTTCTCCCATCTGACGGCCTCTGGCTTCTTCATTTTTATCTCAACCTACAAAACACAATACAAAGGACAACTGAAGCCAGATGGCAAACAGTACTGCCAAATAGTTTCAAAGTAGTTTGATCCTGTAGCAGTAAGAAAATTAACAGATTTGGTTTTAGAAACACAGTCTCTAATACGAAGACAGCATTTCATCAGAATTTACCTACCTGGCAAGATGAAGTTATGCGAGTTCAGGTTACATGTCAATCATGCTCTTACGTGGCTGCACAGCTCTTGTGTGAGACCTTTACCCATTTGTTTAGTATCACTTTGCTTTCTTTTGCTTACTGTTCTCTCGATTCTTTGTGTAAATTATGGTATCCCAAACGAAACGATCAGTCTCAATGTCTCTACGCTGCCAGGCACCAAGGTATTATCTTTCCAGTGTCCCTTTCTTACCAGTCAGCTCTAATAATTGGAAGAACTACAAAATCTAACTTTATCTAGGTTTACATTTCTTCCACCAAAAAAAAAAATATTCATATTTGATGTGTAGTACACAAACCAGAGAAACTCCCTGGGACTATGCAGATCTTCCCACTGGAGAAATTCAGAAGCTGTATTCATTTGGTTCAATGAACAAACACTGCCATGGAGAAAACTGTCTAGTATTCGTTGACAAAACTGGCAATTAAAAATGAATATGGTTGCAATTATCATAGGAGAAACAAAATTAAGTGAAGTATGTCGTGCCCTATTCGCAACTACACATAATCCCTTTAGACAACCACACTGAAATGTTTTCTCATAATTAACCTTCTCCTTTGGTTACAGGGTTACGAAGTTGCAAAAACAACAACATCTGCAAACCAAGGATTGTCTAACGCCACTCCAAACGACAAACTCACTCCAGAAAATGTCACAGGGTTCACCCGATGCTATTAGTTAACTGCAATCAATGCTTGCTGAGCTTCAGCAGTCCCTCATTTGCCAACGGCTCAGCAGAAGCCAGTTCTTAGTTCTATCCAAAGCCACTGTAACCTGGGGATCCCTGCAGACCCAAGAACAAAAGCACCACTGTGAGGGCCCACTCCAGAGATTCCGACAGCGAGCTCCTTGCACAGCATCACCACCATCTGAAATTTGAACTTTATTTAATCCAGTCTTCAAATCAGTTAGGGCTAAGCAACAGACCGAGGGACCTTCTGAAAGAAATTACCTCATTTAAGTTTCCAAGCTGCCACATTTGCAATCATGCTGCATTTTAAGAATCAGAATATTCAATCATGATTGCTTCTTCTTCTCCCCTGCCCCCACCCCTTCCAGGGGAAGCTAGCATTTCTCTAGACAAGTTTAAATACTTATTTTCCACCACTAACTTAAACTTTTTGTTTCTCAGTTAGTACAAGACATGAAGCACGGAATGCCCTTCCAGGCAGGAGAGAATTTCCGTACGTTTTCAAGTCCAACACCCACATATACTTGACTTCCCACTCGCCGTGTCTCTTGGATTTCCAATGTTTTAGCAACTTTACAAGTCACAAATTAAGCATCAGAGCGTCAGTTTCTAAGACAGTGAAAGTCACAGATCCAAAAATAATCAAATAAAATTAAAAATACTGGATTACTCCAGTTGCTCACCCTACTAGTCGTAAAAAAGACCAGTATTTCAGTTTAATATCGCAGTCTGTAAGGATGCAGATATTTCTGTTGAAACTATTCAGAAAGGACATTGAAACTGTGCCAATAACTAGTCATCGGTAAAATGGAAGAAGTCAGCAAAGCTTCCTCCACTGGACTCTTCTAAAAACACCTTGTGAACTACAACCTTAAAGTTCCTTTTGAACACCTACATTCATAAACCTAACACTCTGTGATTAGCTTAAGGAAGCCAAAAATATTTGTGTATCTACATATAAGACAAACAACGAGTGCCAGAACTAGCAGGGTGTTGTGTTTTTTCCTCCAAATGTATTTGGATCTCGTGAGTCAAACATTTAAGTTAATTAGACACTTGCAAAGGCACTAATTAGTTAAAGTGACATGTGAGTACTAATTTAAAATGACTTGTCTCTCCTTTACTTGTTATATAGTTCTTCTCAACCTGAGGAACTGGTATTATCAATTCAGCTCCACATTTATGGGAAGGAAGTCTTAATTTTTTAAGGTTTTGTACCCTGCTTATCAGCATCGCCCCCATATGTTCTCTTTGAAAAGGAAAAAAATCAAAGAAAAAAAAAGGAGTAAATGCTCGATAATGAGACTGCTCAACACTATACCTCTTCAATTTCTCTCCTGTTTCTTCCGTTATCTCCTCTTACCCTCACACTTCAGGTTTTCCACCAGTATCTTTCAGCATGTCAAATACAGACTATATCCTCCACACCACGAATGACCTCTGATGCAACAAAACGCTTGATGTGAGCTACTAAACACAGACTTTTTCCTTCTCAGAATGCAATCCTCCTCAAAGAACCCTTACAAAGACCTTTGGCTATTCATTAGAGGACTCTGCCCACGCACAAAAACAAGGAAAAAAAAAAAAAAATCTTTGCTGCTCCAGTAATCCCCCTCCCATTTTTTAATCTGCTAGCTCTTACACTTTCCTCTCTGAAACTGTCCCTAAGCCAGCGCTACATGACAAACATCCCCAAGGAAATGCTACAAACTAATTCCCAGCGTAAGATGCAGATTTCTTACATCTAAACCATTTCAACCCTGCCAAGCCAGAAGTACAGACAGCTGAAGAACTGAGACAGAACGTATTTCTGACATGATTAAACCTCTATCCCATCTACTCCATCCACTTCAATTGAAGTTACTCATTAGGCAAAGTGGCAGGCAGGAGCAAAACTTGGGAAATCATTAGCTTCGCACCATTATACAATCACATTTTCCAAAAGTACAAAGCCAGAAAATTCTGCTTGTGAAGGCGTGTATTTCTTCAACTTGAGAGCTTTATTTGATCTGAGGAGAAGCAACTTTGCAAATCCCAATTATGTGCACAAATGGCAATAAATGCATTTTAATGACCGTTTTTAAGCAGATACTGATAGCTATCACACAGAAAAAGAACGTATCAGCACAGACACTTGTGTCATATCTAACAGACAAGTACTGCTAGCTTCTTCCTCTCCTTTGAAACAAAATTCAATGCTCCGGCAAGAGGAATACATCAACACTTTGCCAACTGCTTTGATTTAACATTTATATTTCATAAAACATATGCCTGCGTGCCTTGCGCCAACTTTAGAGTAAGGGATTGGAAAATTTCATTGCAAATTAAATGCTTTGTGTGCCACTTCAGGATAAGCTTCGTTCCTCAGCCTCTCCTTGTAGCCGGTGCCCTGCATCCACCCAGCCTTCTCGTTCGCTTGGACTCGCTCTCCTATGTCAGGGCTTCACTTGCATTGGGAAGCCCAAAACTGGAGACAGGACTCCAAATGGATGAAAAGCTCCCACATAGCAATCACAGAACCACAGAATGTCAGGGGTTGGAAGAGACCTTGAAAGATCATCTAGTCCAGCCCCCCTGCCAGAGCAGGATCACCTACAGTAGGTCACACAGGAACGCGTCCAGGCGGGTTTTGAATGTCTCCAGAGAAGGAGACTCCACAACCTCCCTGGGCAGCCTGTGCCAGTGCTCTGTCACCCTCACAGGAAAAAAGTATTTTTTAATGTTTTTGTGGAACCTCCCATGTTCCAG